ATATTTCAAGTAAGGACAGTTTTTTGTTAGCTTGTGATAAACTATTAATATTTAGTAAGCCAATTTTGATAGGAATTGAAGTATTTTCAATTGTTGAATTAGTTGGAGAGTTGAAAATAGGATTGCTAGTTTGATTTTGTGTAGTATAAAGAGCATTAGAGCAAGAGAAAGTAGTAAGAGAAGAGCTTGATGCTGATAAAGAATAGGAAGATATAAAAATAGGTGTGTTGAATTGTGATTTAAGAGAAATATCATGCAAATCTTTAGTGGATAGAGTATAGTGATTTGGTAGTATATTGTGTTTATGTGATAAATACACATATGCTTCACTTTTATTACTGTGAACTGTAATAAAACATAATCTGCTAAATAGTCAACAATGTTTTGTCATAAATGTTGTAAAAAAGAATTAACAGTTTTTGGTTTGTCTAATAAAAGAAGTTGGTAATAAGTAAGAAATTTGTTATAGCATATTTACAAATCATAGGAGTTGAATAATGTTGGTAATGCTTTGGGTAAATGTCCGTCTGTAGTTGTGCTTGCCGTTTTAAGCTCAGTTCTTACGCTGCGAAGGGTTCCATAGTCTGCTATATACGTTTGTCTGACCATCATTAACTTGGTCTTCCACGTAGAGTATAACCATATTATTAATGCAGATAATATAAGATTTGCTACAGCATTTTGAAAGTTTAATATATATAGCCATTGTAATGCTTATATAATAAAAAATTTATTATATCTTTTATTTCTTGATTACCTTTTTTTACACAAGATCTATCAAATGCAATCCAAAAAATCAAGCATGAAAAAAAGGTTATTGGTTTTAATACATCCTATTTATTAAAGTTACTGCTTAAACAACAAAAAAGAATTTTATGATGTTTATATAGCCATTGATAAATGTAGATAGTAATTAACTGTATAGTATTTTTTGAATGATAGCAAATCAAATTATACTATGGGTTTATTATTCTGATATCATTTTATATGACAACACTTCAAGAACAAATAAATATAATTTTCTTCTATCTTTATATATTTTTATTGATAATGATAGCAAATCATGACTGGGAGCACAGATATTTTTAAGTGATGAGACTCAAGAAAGCTATAAATAGATTTTATAACAAACCTTAAATGTGACTGGTTCTAAACCATAGGTCATAATAAATGATATAGATTCTGCAAAAGATGCAGCATGTTAAGTAATATATAAAAATTCTTATTATGTTCACTGTATTTAGCATATATCTCAAAATTTGTTTAAGTAGTTTAAGGCCAAACTTGGAAGTACAAATTTTAAAAAATTTCTCTGTAACTTTTGAAAAGTATGAAATTCTTTAAGTATTGAAATCTTTGAGCAGCAGTTTCAATTTTTACTAAAAAAGGTTCTAAATATCAACAAATATCTGTACGTATAATCCTATTTAATTAACTCAGTAATCTTGGGCAAAGTTATTTATATGTAGAATATTTACAGCTAGCATGTAATCTACTTTATATGTTGAATCTATTAACATGATTATTTATAAAGCAGTTGCTTCTATTAGATGTAGTTGTAGCTTTGGAATATCATATTCAGAAAGAAGATTTAAGTAAATGTTTTATGAAATGAAAACACAAATCAATAAACTATTATTAATCATTTATTATAGAGAGGCTTTTTAGCGAGATCAACAATGTAGTTAAAAAACACTTTACACTCCAAATTATTAAAGAAATTAACAAACAAATATATGAATCAGTACTTTATAAGTGCGAAAAGTTGGATATAAATTATGCTTTTGAATTTGAGGATTAATCTGATTCAAATGAATATGAACTAACTGATAGTTAAATAGCATTTTTTTTGTAGTACATAGTTTAAGTAGTACTATAGTATAAATTACAATTAATTGCTATGCATTAGAATACAGAAGTAAAAAATGTTGTAGATTATTATAATCTTAGCAAACATGTCTAAGAGAACTTAAAAAATTAATTTTAAAAGAGTCAATTAAAGAAGTCTGATGAGTTACTTTATATATACTACCAAATTTGTAGTAATATATTGTTATGTTAACTGATGGTATACATTTGTGAATATGTTTGCTGTTAGTTTTGCATGATATTGTTTGCTAGCACTATTTTAAATTACTAGTAGAGAATTTAGATGCTTTATTTCACATAAGATTAATGCTAACAAGATAGTTATTTGATGATTTTTAAAATGTGTTGATTTATTATATTCTGAACTATTTGTTAACACATTGTTTCAGTAATAATAACACACAAAAGCTTATTTCCAAATTATAATGTTCAAGATATTTAAGTATGAACCCATCTATAAAAAAATTGAATTATAGCTATATTATAAGTCATTTTAAAAAAATACTAAGCTATTCATTAGAAGATAATAATTAAAGTAGTTTGGACAAGCTTATTTTAACTTATATTTCTAAAAAGAAAGAAATTTGAAATGCTCAAAATTAACAAATGCCTGTTGAAGAATGCCAAATTTTAGATTATATTAATTTGTCTAATAGATATATTTACAATTATAATGATATTAAGGATCCAGTAGTACATAGGAGTAAAGGTAAACCCTTAAACAAATAGTTGAAGTCCTTTTATAAAGAAACATATATAGCTAGTAATAGTAGTAAACCACAACAGAAAGTATAATAGTCATTTAATAATAATGTTGACAATGATGATATAACTAGGCATAGATGTAGATTATACTATAAAACAGTTTATTATGCTTCTAGATATCCTAATAAGGAGAATTTAATGTAATTAGAAGATTTGTATTGTAAGTACTTTGTCAAATTATAAATATTGGATATTGTTATTGACCAACTGATTAACTTTAAGCAGTCTAATATTGAATATTTGTTTTCTTTTAGTTTATTATTTTTTTATTTATAGTTGAACATTTTATAAGTATTAGTTTCAATAAATAAGTATCTACTAATCACAAATAAAGCTTATAATTAAATAATATATACTGTGCATATATGTAAATATATAACTTATAAATGCTTAAATAGTAAGTTGCAGCTATAGTACCTACAGATGTATATACATCTCTATATATTCTAGTTATTTTATTATAATAATAGCTTATGATATTGTATAATTATAATAAGAGAGAGATATATAGTTAGATTTAAAGATGCGAATTTGATTTTTTTTTTTTTACCTTCCTCCGCATCTTGAAGGTCCTTAGACATCTTTGGATCTCTCATATCTCTCAAAGGCCAGAGTATTTGTATCTGCAGAGATCACCGGTATAGTATATTGATCACCTATATATCACTGTACTGGTGAGATAACTTATGCTCCATTAAGTATATCATATAATGTCCTAGGTTCCTGGTGCCGCAGTGTAGAATCTACATTCTCTAGATTAGTGATATGAATTAGAACAAAAATCGTAATTGATTAGTTGGTTGGAAATTTTTTAAAAAATGGATTATAGTTGACTATACTATAACTAATCGATTAATCGATTAATCGATTAATCGATTAACTGATTAATCGATTAATCAATTAACTGATTAATCAATTAATCAATTAATTGATTAATCGATTAGTCAATTAGTTGGTACATACTTAACTATTTCGTTATAGCCTTGTTTAAATATTTTTGCATCACTAATTAGATCCAATTAACTTACAAGTTCGTAATATTCAGTTTTACCATTATAAAGAGAGTTGAGATTGAAAATTGGTAGGTTTATAAGGTTATTTATATATGTTATCTTAGTATTAGAAGATTTATTTATAGCAGATCCAAACTTTTTACAAAGACTATTTTTTAGATCGTTTACTATCATAGAGTAGCTTAAAATGGGCTGTTATATAGACTATTAAATATAGTTTAATAGCTCAGTCATAGATCAAGATTTGCAAGTGTAAGATGAATAAAAGATAGCCAAGATAATCTGTTTAGCGTTTACTATAAATAGGCTTTTTTGTTTACTTTTTAAATTTAATTATTAAACTACTTGATTTTTTATAAAATAAAAAAATATCCTTTATATATTTTTTAATTTATATACTCTATTTATTTTAAATGTTCATTTATATAATAAAATTTCAATTTACTTATTTAATGGGAGGAAAAATATCTAAATGAATTAAGTTCTGTTTTAAAAATAATAATTGATGTAAGAGATAGGGATTTAATCAGTTTTGTTTTGGAGTAACATAATTTCCTGCATCTAAAAATAGATATTCTGAAGGAACAGATTATGCAGAAATTGAGAGATACTTTCTTGCAAATGTGCAAAGAATAGGAAAATCTGATTTTCATTGTCTCCACCACTTTAATGGATCATTTTCCTCTATTTGGTCTATCTCAGGAATATTGAGGTATTTATCAAATTCTGTTTGCTCAGAAGATTCATTACGCTGTTGTCGGATTGAAGAAAAAGAATTTTTCATTGCTAATTTTTTTTCTTTTCCATTTGCATATCATTTGACAGACTTGTATTATTGCCTTCTGTTTGATTTGTTGGTCTATTTAATTCATTAAATTTAGTTCGTAATCCTTCAATAGTTTCTCTTTTTAACGCCTATTTATAATATAATATAAAGATTACATAAAAAGCATTCAACTTTAAGAAGCATTAAATAATTGTGATAGATTAAATGAAATTAGATTAAAATGAAATTTGGTTTCTCTTTAGTATTAGCATTAATGTTAGAAATATAAGTAGAAATTCAAATTCATTTTAATTTGATTTCATTATATTCTGCGACAGTTAATTACAAATAATGCTTACATAAGAACAAAAGAACAAATTCTTGAATCTAGGATCAAGTAAGGACACATACATTCCATATTCATATGGTTGTGACCATCGATTAGACAAATTGGTTAATATAGTATTTTTCATCTCACTGATAGTATCTGATTCATAAGTTGTATTATTTAAACAATAGATTAATTCTTCTATTATAGGTATAATTATACTTAATAGAACATAATTGGATCTGAAAAGAATTTCAGTATCTTTGTGGAATGGGCATAGAAGATCGACAAGAGCTTGCACAGTTTCAAAGTCTTTATTCAATAATAATTTTTCCCAAATATTTGCACTATCTTGACGATTATTATTATTATTTGAATTTTCAAGATCATTTGTTAGTCATTTAATTGGTCATTCAAGCTCCACAAGTCTATTAAGAGCTATATAGGTGGAATTCCACTGAGTTTCTACATCCTTTATTACATCAACTATATCAGCCTTTAATATACCTTTCCTTAATTGCTTTCTTTTTTTTTCTCCACTCAGAAGTGAAATCAACGCCTTACATTTCATAATTAAATTGTGAACAACTTCCAAACCTGCTTCGACACTTAATTGCAATGTGTGTGCAGCACAAAAAATATTTGCAATTGGCTTTAATACTAGAAGATTTGTTGAAAGCTGTGTAACAGCTGCTTTGACATTGGAACCATTGTTAGTTATAATACTTAATATCTTATTCCCTTTTATACTAAACTCTTCAAGCATAGGTTCGATAGCTTCTACAATATCATTGGCAGTTTTATATATGCCCATCACAATTACACCTAGTGTAAAGTCATACATACAAAACTCATCTGAATTCAGTGGCAAGTTACGTCTAAATAAGAGTCATGCGCATGAGAGGTCCATAAATCAAATGTAAGTGATACTGTATTAGCTTTAGTAAGAAGCTTTTGCTTAACAAGTTGAGTTGTATAATGATAACTATTTGCTATTTCATTTTTAATTGTATTAATACATGGTGGTTTATACCGAGGATCAAAGGAGTATAAAAAGGTACGAAAATTTTTATTTTCGATTAAGGACAAAGGAAGTGTGCAGAAAATAAGTAGTTTAATAACATCTTGTGTAAGTTTTTGTTGTTTTGGTGCCGAATAAGATTTTAATAAAACTTTTTCTAGTGTTTGTTGAGAAGATGATTTAAGTTCTTCAACCATTTTACCTTCTAGTGAAACTTTCATAATATGATGTACATCAAGAAGATGTTTAATCATGTTAGATGTTGAACTATGCCATACATATTCAGTTTGGCAACCATCAACATCACACTTAAGTTTGGTTGTCAATGAGTCTTCAGGCTGAATTCCAGGCTCATCATAAAAGTTAAAAAAGGATCTAACAAAAACATTTTTATTAGAAAGCTTCACTCTTTTATTGTTATAACTATTAGTAGTTTCATTTGTAAAAGGTTGTGGTGATTGAGAATGCAAAGTTAAATTATCATCATCCTGATCAAAAGAGTTCGATTGGTTGATTTGAGGTGAACTATCAGAAATTGAGTTATAAGTAGAACCTTCATAATTGTAATCATCATCCATATTGGAAATAAAAATCAGAATAGGGAATCAAGGTGAGAAAGTTTTGCCGATTTATATAAATCTCAATTATATAACTAATAACAAAAAAAAAACTTATTTAAAATGATCTACAATTCAAGGCGCAAGATTCTGTTATTATAACAAAGAGAAGGTTGATTATCTACTAAAAAATTGGCATTAATCGAATTCAAAACAATAGCGATAGGTAGGCGCACATATTTATGTATGCACCTATGGTTTAATATAATTATTTGAAATCCATCTCAATAACAATCTTTTCGTTTCTATAGATTTGTTCATCTCAAAATATTATCGATAAAATTATTCTGGGTAGTAAATATGTGCATTTGTTTAATATTGTTCATATTTCGATATTTCATGTGGTGTGAACTTTCTTGGGATATAAGGATAAGAAATACATTTGCAATTTTATTAATTGGATTATTGTTTTATTCATTAATATAAGAATCATTATTAACCTTTTTTATAAATTCAGTTTATATATAGTATATATTTCATAAAATCAAGACAAAGAACATATATACTTTCATAAAAGTTGTGAATATCAAAAGTAGTTGGACATTACAAATTATAAATTTATATGCAACTTATCAGTTAAGATCAGATTTTACTATTCTATTCATCTTTTATTGTATTTATTGCATATGCTTCAATTATACTAATTTTAATTCTTAAATTCTTATGACCTTGAGTAAATGTAAAATAGAAATGAAGTTAACTAAGATGAAAAACTCTTTAAGAAATATGGTATGAAATTAAATTTATCATTATTTTTGAAAATTGGCTCCTTAAAAATAGCATTCAAAATAGCACTTACAAGTCTTGAAGTAATGCACTCTTATATTAGAGATGTTAGTCAACTCAACGTGCTTATATATTTATTATTACAAAAACCGATTAATGAATAGAGTTGAACAAGCTGATTAACATCTCTATCTCATAGTTCTATATAATTGGGCTAGAAATCAACACTTTATCTCAAAATAAATGTATATAGGGTATATCTTAAATAACATACAGGTGCTTGATTCTATAGTAAAAATTATACACCCAACACTTTAGCTAGTGTATTATAATTGAATTATGCATTTATTTTTTCTATTGTTCACCTTTTCTTGCATACAATGGAGATGGTCAAAATTGTTTTTGTACTACCAACATAAATAAGTGAGAACGAGAATTTCAATAGTTTAAAGAATCATAAGTAAGAACGAGAATTTCAATAGTTTAAAGAATCATAAGTGAGAACGAAAACTTCAATAGTTTAAAGAATCTTCGAATAATTAAGAACCACAAAATTTAATTTTAAATAAATATTATTAAAATTTCTAATCTTTATTTCTTATTTAAATTTTAAATCTACTATTGCATATTTGAAGTGCATTATTACTAATACTTTAATCGTTTTGATAGTGTTGCAGGTTTAATTTTGTGTACTCATAAATATTTATTAAGGTTGCATGAAGTATGAAATAAGTTTATAAAATAACTAATCGATTAATTAATTAATCGACTAGTTAACTAATTGGTTAATCAATTAATCGATTAATCAACCAATCGATTAATTGATTAATCGATTAGTTGGTCAATCGATTAAAGTTGGTTTTGTAATCATGAATCGATTAGTTGCCAACTTTACCAACTAACCAACTAATCGATTTTCGATTCATATCACTACTGCACATGATCGAAGTCACCTGATTGGCTAATTAATATAATTATAATGCTAAATAAATTAATATATATATATGTATATGATATAATATTAAATCGCCGCGATACTTGATATTACAGCATTGCACATATTATACATCATTACCACAACTTAAAATATTATTTTTATATAAAAAAATTTTTATTTTTATTTTATTTTTTAATGCGAACTTATTAAGCTAAAATATTATCAGCAGACTCTTTGGTATCATCATCATCATCAGAGATAGGATCAGATGCTTCGTTATTAGTTACCTTTACTGAATGAGATTCACATAAAGTTCCTAAGAGAGCTTGAACATGATTATCAATGCTATACTTAATATAATTTAGGCAGTGCAAACATACGAATTTGTCTTGGTTTAAACATGTAGTATAGTAGAAATGACCACATGTTAATACTTGACCTGTTTCTTCAGTAATCATAATGTTAGTATTGAAACAATTAATCGAATCACAACCATACAAATGGGGCCTATGCGAAGTACTATATCCGAAAGGAAAATGGCAAAGCCATCCTTCTTTCATCTTTAGTGCTGGAAGAGAAATGCTAGTATCAGTATTTGATTTGTCTTTTCCTATTTGTTTTGTCTTTAGGACCTGCGGTGGAATTGAAAATGATATATTTTTATGGTTAATACAAATATAAATTTCTGTAAAACAATCTAAAAGAAAACATGCGGTTTTTTGAGTTAGCACGGTAATATTTCGAGAAGAATATTGGTATACAGCCCAAGTTGATGTATGAACAAAATGTTCTTTAAATCCATCATCACTAAACCGTGTATAATTAATATACCGTGCTTCTTTTATTATCTGACTTGCCGCAAGATGTTTTTCAGTATTGCGCCGTAAAAAACTATGGAATATCTCCACAGGTGCATCAGAAAATTTAGGCAACTCTGCATTCATCGCTCTTAAAATTGGATGGTTTTTTAGCTGCCAGTAAAAAATATCTGAAAGGAACATTAAGGGCGCTTTAGTATAGTTCCTATGGTTAAATTTAAAAAAAATCGTCCAAACCCGAAAACATGATTCGACATAGGCATTAAAATCGCCTGCTCGAAAAAATACGGTATAAATATCAAGAACAAGGGGAACAATATCAACTAATAGATTCTTAAGCGCCAAATATTCAGCATCTTTGCATACACGACCGAATTTTAATTCTACCATTGCTGCAATTTCCTGCCACGTACTACGTAAAAGTTCCAGCAATAAATTTATGCGCCACGGTTTCGGTTTTTGAGGAAAATTTTTTTTTTTCACCAAACACGTATTTGTACATTGCAGAGAAAAATGGATGGTATTGGAGAACTACCAGTTCACGACTATTTAGTGAAATATGTAAAGGACC